GGGCGCGCCGGTGGCGGTGGGTCGCACGTCCCACCTCCCCCCCCGCGGCACGACCCGGCGCCGCTGCTGTCACGGGGAGCGGTGCCAGGATCTCGCCTCCGTGCTCCAGGATTTTCTTTTTTGATTTTTATTTTCCGCTCCGTCTCCAAACCCGCCACTCGAGGTTTGGCTCCAAACCGTCGTCCTTTTGTCGCCGTCTCCGCCCGGTGGCCGGGGGAGCGCTCCTGACAGGCACCTGCCCGGGCCGGAGTTTCCCCCTGCCTGTCCCCAGGCTGCCAGAGAAACTTCGCTAAAATCCAAGTTTGACGAAATACTTTGCAGCGGCTCCTGAGCTGAGATTGAGTTGGAACTGACGCGAGCTCTCCGCTGGTTTTTAGGGAGCCCAACTCAGCGCAGCGCTTCTGTGAAAATAATTCACAAATTGAGCTGCAGAGACTCCAGGGCTCTGAGCTGGCAGTGCCCTTTCGCTCTGGTCCCTGCCACTTGGGTGAGAGTTAGCGGCAGCCCCCTATTCCTACTTTGTATTATTTTGGTACGCTGCATCCGTATATTTGTCTGCTGTAGTCTGCTGGCAAACATTAGCATTCAAGCTTACATTTTTGACAAATGTGCAGACAGGAATAGCATGAATAGGCATCTTAAATATTAACAACCTAAGCATCTGTTGTGAAACAAATTTAATATATTTACTCTGTTTTTCTCACATTGTTAGAAAAGGTTACAATAAGTGTAAAATTTCAGCTGTAGTTAGCACAAGGAATGCTTGGATATTTCACTATCTCTTCAAGCATTTAACACAATCACCAGATAGAAATGTGTCAAATCAGGCGCACTATTCAAAAACAACTCGAAACAGTAAGCGTAGAGTGTAAAGACATGAATGTAGGATGTTCTCTGCAATTTGTGTCTTCTAATTACTCTGCAGCACTATTTGTAGAATTTTAGAGTGCTCTTTTCAGCCCCATATTCCTATGTGCTCTTTAATACGTTTATACATACACTCATTTTCTAATTCATTTTCTATTTGAGATTGCTATTGGTAATACCTCGCTTTTCGAGTCGCAACGGTTTGCACAGAAATGTGTAATAACGTAGGGTAGGTAACAAAATGAGCAGGCAAAAAATGTAACGTGTTCACATACAAGCATGCATCTAAACAGATAGCACACACACAGACATAATAAGGCAATAGACGAGAAATTAAAATCCCTGGCTAGTATGCTATGTATGCCCACTCTTGAATACAAACAGCTAGTGGAAAAGAAACAACTGACTCGAAGGAATTCCTCCGTCCCTGGAATAAAACTGTTCTGAGTAGAACAAGAGCACAGAAGAGTGAAGTCTCCAAAAAGACTGTAGAGTTATTTCAGGAATCAGTGCATTCCTTCCCTTTTTCCCACAAGTTCAAATATGTAATAAATAAGTCCTTTGTATGCAAAAGAGTTTACTGGAACAAAAAAAAAATATTTAAATGGAATGCTTTTTGTGCGTACACTTTGAAAAACTGGCCGTTTCCTTTTTATATTCTTTGTTCTTAATACTTTGAATAGGAAAGTTTCTCCCCTCCTGTTATTTTAGCGATCCACATGAATCCCAACCTGCTGCTGCGCGCTCCCGAGAAAGCAGCGTTCAGCAGAGAGGGCTGATCTGTAACTTGCTCCTGGGACGGTGCTGCTTTGGCAGGATGGGAAGCAGAGAGGGTCTGCCACCCTAGCCCGGGTTTGTCCTGGAGCAGGGCACCTTTTTTGGGTGGCAGCGTAGGCCCAGCGGGGTCGGCTGAGGAGCATCTGCCCCCTGGTTGGTGTGCATCCCCTGCCCGCAGCCCTGCCTGCCAGCATCCCACCCGCACCCCCACCCTCAGTCCTGCGGGGACGTGGGCACATCCACCCTGTCAGCCTCAGAGTAGCAAAGTCCTGAATAAGCACCAACTCAGCCCACATTTCAGGTTTGGGACAGAGAGGAGTTGAAATGTGCACGGCTGCCGTTCAGATGATCAGCTGAAGTCTGGTGTTCTTGGAAAAAAAAACCAACCAAACCCAAATCTTCTAATTGTATCAACTACTCAATTTTTGGAAGTATCGTCACCTTTTTATTGTCACCTATTTTTTTTAATCTAAGCATTGTCAGGTAGATTTGAAGTCCTTCTTAAGATTTCCAGATGCATTTAGAAAAAAAAACAAAAAACAAGGATATTATTTTATTAATAAAATAGTTTGCAATATATAGAAAAAATATATTAAAAGTAGACTTCTGAATTAAAACTGGAGGAAATATGACTTCTGAAATGTTTTAGTCATATTTCTGGGAACTGCGCTATTTAAACACAGATACTACTGAAGCATTTTATTGCCTTCTTGTATATAACTGCCATTGCTCTCTCTAGATATATTTAATATATATCCAATGAAGCCACAAACTTTCCTTCTACAACAGTTTAAACACATCTGGAACATTTTACTTTCTTATAATTTATGTTAATAGATGTAGAGTGTATATACAATCTTCTCAGAAATCATTGCTTTTTCCAAAGGGGAATTTTTTTACTTTCAGTCAGGGAATATATTTATAAGAACAAAATAACTCAAAGTATAGGCAATTCTATATATCATTTTATTTTCTGTTATATTAGGTTGATTATATAAAGCTCTCATTTAGAGCGATGGGATGATGAAATTACAGAGGAGTCATTGGCTTTTGTTTTTTTCAAATGGATCCAGTTGAGGGCTGCAAAAATGACTGGTTTTGGTAAAGTTCTTTGAGTACGTAATATTTGTCATAGAATTCTGACAAATTAATTTAATAGAAAAGCCACAATTCTCTTAGCACGGGAGGCTATATTTTCAGGTAAAATGGAAGTTCTGCTTTTGCCATTATAGGCATCAGGCTTCAGTAATCTGCTTCTCTTGTGGAATGAACACTTTCTACTTAAAGCTATCATGCACCTACTGTTTATTTACGCTGCATTAAACTGACAGCACGGCAATCAGAGGAAAAA